TTACTATCGACTAGGCACTGTTCTAAGTGCTTCACATACAATTATTACATCTAATCCCCACTCCAGCCCTTTGATACAGGTACTATTACTACTACTGTTTTATCAGTGAGGAAACCGAGCTACAGAGAGGCCAAATAACTTGGTTAAAGTCACACATGTAAGGAGTGGAGCATGCTTTTAAGTCACTGTGCTATACTGACTTTATACTGTGCTACACTGATGGTTGAGATGGCGGGCCATGCTGGAGCATCTGGCTGGTTCAGTCGGAGGAGCACATGACTCTTTTTCTTGGGGTAGTGAGTTCAATCCCCATGTTGGGTGCAGAGACTACTTAAACTTAAAAAAAAAAAAAGAAGTGGAGAACCATCCTGTGTAAATTACCCTTTCTCCATGAGGTCCATAGTCGGATCATTCTGTTCTTTCTTCCATAGGTCATCATTGCCCTTAACGCATCTATTTTTGCCAAGGGCTGCCCTGACCTGGATCTCCTTGATATCCTCACAGTCTGTCTATATGAGTACCAAATTGCCAGTCAGTCAAAGTTAAGGAACCTAAGTTAAGATCCCTACATGTGATAGCACAGAGTCTAAACACCTGTGCACACTTCTAGGCGTGAACATGCTACCCCTCATGTACCGGCCCCAACCTACTTTGCCAGTCTCACCTCCTGCTACGACCCCCCACCCCATCCCATGTATTCTCTGCTCTAGTCATACTGAACACACCCTACTTTTTCTAGACTCCAAACATTTGTGCATGCCTGTCTCCACTTCCCTACTGCCCTTAATTCAACAGGATAAGCCACTACTACGTGTTAAGGTTACATAAGCAATTTCCATACAATCCGAGAAGTACTCTTATCAATATGCACTGCAACATAAGGCAGGAATTCAGAATGAGCGGAGGTCTTACTCCCTCTAGGGGATTCGGTGGGGGACATGGGAAGGGGAGAAGAGAGATGAAACCTTCATACAGGAGATGACATTGGAGCTGAGTCTTGAATGATTAGGAGTCTGGCAGTCAAGGAAGGAGAAGGAAACCTCCAAGTCATCTCTGTTCCTCCATCTCCCCACGCTCAGACGTTAAGTCATATGTAGATTCTGCACCCAAAGTGTGTCTCATGTCTGTCTCCTCTCATTCCTTCTGCCACTGTCCTAGTCGCACAGGCCCCATTTGGGCCGTTGCAACAGCTCCATAACTGGCCATTCTGCCTCTCGTCTTTCCCATCCCCAGTCTGCTCTCCGTGTGGCTGCCAGAGTCAGCTCCCAAGCCACAAATCTGAGGGCGGCACTCTTCTACTCAAAACCCTTAGTGCTTTCCACCTCTGGTAGGACAGTCTCAACCTTTTACAGGGAGACCCAAAGCCCGTCACAAGCGGGTCATAGTTTCTCTTTCCCGTCTCCCCTCTAGCCGTTCCACTCCTCCAGCCCTCCACAGTAAATTATCCGTCTCACTGTCTCACTCAAGACAGCATCTCACCCTTTCAGCTATCCTGCCTGTGTGTCCTGTGCCCATCTTATTCCCCCCTGCCTAGAAAGCCATGATCCTTTCCCCCACCTGACGGGTTCGGCCTGGCTTCGTCCAGGAAACAGAGGGGATCCACAGTGGTGGGCCTTTAAGGCCCCTGTGTACCATAGGTCATGTCTGACGTTTGCATATTGTGGACTCAGGAAAGGGAGCAAGCACTCCCCTCTAGACACCACCGCGTGCACCCAGGCAATCTGATTGGGCATCTGAATCAGTTCGTGGTTGCTATGCCAATTCTCTGTGGAGGCTGCCGCCTGCATTGAAATCCCAATCCGGTTTTGGGGCCTTGACTGTTCAAGGGAGCCACTCCCCTCACCCAGGAGCTGCCTCTTCTCCTTGCCCCCAGCTCCTAGAATCTCTGCACACGGATGCCTCTAAAAGACCACAAATGTCCCTAAAAGCACCAGGACCCAGAGACAGAGTGCATAAGAAGCTCCTGTTACTCAGCCTTTCTGGGCCCCCATCAAATCCCTTGAATATGCAACATCTCTCTGACCTTGCTCTTTGGGCTGCTGTCTGCTCCCGGGGGGGCAGCCAACCCTATTATCCCCAAGTTCAGCCCCACGTGCCTCAGTCTCGAGGCACTAGCCTCACTCCTTTCTGGCTCACTGCGAGTTCTAGCAGGCCTTCAGGCTGTGGCCTCTGTGCTTCTGAGGGTGTCTTACCTTACTTTGCAGTTTCTAACCAGCTTTGGAACGCATCTGAGTTGCTTCTCACAAAAGCTCTGGGAAAGGAGAGGTAGAGAGAGGGCATTAACCACCTTACACTGCAGATGAAGAAACCAACACTTGGGGTAGGTAGGTTATCATGTGTCCCAGGGGGACAGAACTCATCAAGGGCAACCCCGGTCTCTGTATCGCAAAGCCTTCTTGGCCACCGCCACCAAGGTCATTCCATAGTTGGACTGTCTGTGTGGCAAGCCTTATGTGTGCTCGCCTCCTGCTTCTCCCTTATAAACTACACTCTTGTGACAAGCCTCAGATCAAAGAACCAGTCCTGGGTTAGTCAGACAGGCCCTCCTCCCTCCCTGCAACACTGTGCACAGCTCCCCCAGGGTCCTTTGGCTTGCTCCCATCTGGTTCCCAGGACACAAGGGTAAGTGTCCTCTCTTTGGCTGTAGAGCTGGATGGTGGCTTTATTGTCCCACCACTGCCCCCTTGAGAGGAAAGCCTTGATCTGGAGTTGGAGCCTCTTTCCAAAGGGAGGTTCTCACAGAATCATTTGAAGAGAAACTAGGTAGTTGAGGCGGTGATGGATTGTGTGGTTCTCCACGTGGGGAGGGCAGGAGGCTCTTGTGTGGAACCAGCAGGACATTTTTAAAGAGAAAAATCTTTTTCCTGGTGGCCTTCTGGACAGAGAAGAGATGCTCTGTGTTCCTTGTGCTCTGGTGTGTGTGGGGGGGGAGGGTAGGATTTTGATAAGAAAAGGAATCTCTCCCACCGTTGGAGACCTGGGGGTGGGAACCTCTCTTCTCACAGGATATGGTGTCGCCTTCTAAAGAGAAATGACTTTTTTTTTTTCTTTTTCAGAAAAGCAATCTCTCTTAAGAAAAGGGGAAGCTGTCTCTCAGGAATTGCCGAGGGTGGGGGGAAAGGCTTACTCTCTCCTTTCTGTACTAAAGGAGAAACCTCCTCAAATCAGGAAACATTCTCTGCTTTCTGTCTGAAGGGGAAAGACTGTTTCTAGAGGAGAACGATTCTGATAAGAGAAAATGCCTGATTCTCTCTTCCTTTCTGATGCACTTGTCACACAGAGTCGTGGTACTCTGACAGGGAGTGGCAAACCATTTTTTCTGTTAAAAGGTAAGGGAACTGAGGCGAGAAACTTGCTGGAGGTGGGGGTGGGGAATCTTTTACTCTGATGGCTCCCTGGTGAGGGCAGTGACTCTGAGATGGGGAAACCCCTGTGAGTCTGGGGAAGCCTCTTAGGAATCCCAGAAGCCCAGAGTGCTAAAGGGAACTCAATGGAGTAATGGGCCTGCCTTTTTTTGCTCACAGGGAAACTGAGGCTTGGGAAAGCGAATGTCTTACTCCTAAGTGATGGAACTAGGACTTGAACACAGCTTGGTCAAGTCCCAGCTTGGGGCTTTTCCCATTATAGCTGCCAGAGGGTGGGGAGGCTACCTGCTGCTTGGGAGTGAGGAGAGATGCCCCCCCCCACCATGAAAGGTCTGACCTGCGTTTGGAAACATCTCTGGGATGGGAGGCATTGATACCTGAGGTAAGGCAACTGGGGACGAGAGTAGAATTGGGGGCTGTGTCCAATCCAGGTAGAGGGGTCAGAGTCCCGGTGCAGTCCAGCAGGTGGCTTATGGCAGCAGTGAGCACCTGAGTTTCAAGGGAGGAAGGGGGCTATTTCTCCCAAGAGCTCGGGAAAGGGGCCCTCACCCAGGGAACACGTGCTACCTTCTCCAACTTGCAAAATCTCTCTATCATTTCCTGTCTGTCCAGATGGAGTTGCCATTTTAATGTTTTTCAAATCAGAGGAAGGGGCCCAAGGAAACCTCTTAGGTAATGTAAATGTTTTATAATATATTGCGGCCGTGTTTACAAAACTGCACGCACTTATGAACACTCCATGAACTATACTTAGAATGGATGAAAAAAATAAGAGAAAAGGAAGGGGTTCAGGGCACCTGGTGCCAATAAAGCTGTGAGTAAAAAAAATTTAAGCCCCCCCAAACCAAAAGCCAAACCCAAACCAAACCAACCCCCCACCCCCGGCAAAAAAAAAAAAAATGAGGCAAGACCGGCTCAGGGTCTCACTACTTCTGTTGCCCATTGCTTTCTAGATCAGCAAAAATCCAAGGCCAGCTCATCCAGGGGGAGGTCAGAGGTTGCAGGAGAAAGAACTTGACAAACACACAAGCCACCTCTTCGTTTACTGTAAAATCCTGTTTAATGTGTAACATTTCAGGCACAGAGAGGCCTTGGGAATGAGAGGCAAAGGCGGTCCTAACCAACCCCCACTCCAACTTATCTGCCTGCTCCTCCCTCCCTAATTCCTCCATCCCAGACATGTCCTCCTCCTCCTTGTGGCCAGCAAAGTGCTGTTCCTCCTTTTCTCGCCTTGACTACCCTCCCTTCTCCACCCACATGTCCAGAGCACCCTCCTTCCATTCTACTTGCCCACGTCCCTCCCTGCTGATGTGACTCCAGAAATAGGGTATCTGACAACACGGGGTTAAGATTAGTTTCATAATTGGAGATGCTGTCAGAGCATCATATCTCTTGTCCCCCAGTGGCCCCAGGAAGAGGGAGAGGGAAGCGGAAAGGGGGTACAGACAAGAAGAGCCACCTCCTGCCCCCTCACCCCACCCTTGAGCACTGGCCTGGCCAGCCTCGGGCTCCCCACCCCTCTGGTCCCCCAGACAGAAGGCAGGGGTGGGGGGGGTGGGGGTGGAGGAAGGGAAACCAGGGAGGAAAGGGAGATTTCCATTGATCTGATCTGCAGTCCCTAGCAGGCAGAGGCCCGCACCCCCGGCAGGGGAGAAGGAGGGGCAGGGCCAGGGGCAGGGGGATGGGGGACGGGGGAGGGGTGCAGGAGGGGAGGTTGCCTTGTGTGTGGCATCAGCAGGCCGAGCAGCGGTCGCTCTTCTCAGCCAGCCCAGCCCCAGTGCCAGGGCTGCGGCGCAGTATGTCTTTCAGGGAGCCATCCTGCTCGCTCAGCAGCTTGTTGATCTCATTCTGCTTGTACTCAGGTGAGAGGCGGTGGCCGAAGCCCGAGCCCTTTCGGGAGGGCGGATTGGAGCGGCGCTGGGCTCGGCGGGCACAGGCCCGGATGATGAGGTACACCACCTCGGCCACGTTGAGGATGATGCAGATGCCCGAGGCGGCCAGCATGAAGACCGTGAAGACGGTTTTCTCAGTGGGTCGGGACACGAAGCAGTCCACCGTGTTGGGGCAGGGGTAGGCCTCACACTTGACCAGCCGCACCATGGCGTAGCCGGGGTAGAGCAGGTAGAAGACATACATGAAGGCGGCCTCAAACATTAGCCGGAAGACCACGCTGATGACATAGGTCCACCACAGCGTCCCTGAGATGTGGACCTTGTGCCTCTTGACCTCCTCCAGGTGCAGGGGGTCCGCGTGACCCTCGAGTCGCAGCATCTTCTTTTCTATGTGCTGCTGGTGAGCCACGTGCATCGCCACGAGGAGAGCTGGGGTGGACACCAAGATGAGCTGCAGGGACCACAGGCGCACGTGGGAAATGGGGAAGAAGTGGTCATAGCAGACGCTGTTGCAGCCGGGCTGCAGGGTGTTGCAGATGAAGGAGGACTTCTCGTCACCCCACACGCTCTCGGCGGCCACCACCAGCACCATGATCCTGAAGATGAAGATGACCGACAGCCATATGCGACCAATGGCGGTAGAATGCCGGTTCACGCCACTGAGCAATGTGTACAAACCGGTCCAGTTCATCCTGCCTCATTCACACCTGCAAAAGATGAGGCACAAAGCGAGCTGGCAGAAAGCTGGGGCAGAAAGCTGGGCAGCGTGACATGGCTTGACACACACACCCACCCCCACCACCCCTGTCACCCCTTCCAAGAGCCAGTGACAGGAAGGGAAGAAGGATGGTCAGTGCTTTCCTCATCACCCCACATCCCTTGCCAGCCTCTCCTCTTCCTCTTCCTCCTCTTCCTCTTCTTCCTCCTCCTCCTCCTCACTTGACTTGACTTCCCTGAAGCCCATCTCCCTTCTTTGCTTTCATCCAACATTCTTTCCTCTCCAGAGCCCCTTTCTTTACCAGGTCCATTTTGTTCTGCCCTCGGCCATTCTCTTTAGCTCCCCATCCCCCAGCTCCTTAGCTCCGGACCTGGGGTGAGCCCAACAAAGCCCATTACCTTGGGGAGCGCCTATCCCTGAGGCCACCCAGACAGGTCCCCTATGGTCTCATGTCTGTGCAGGGGGAGTGGTCCCTGGGTCCGCGCCTGCGTTCCAATTCATCGCCGCCCGGTGCTGGGGAGTCATATGCTGCTTTATACCCAGTGTCTGCACAATGGGACCTTTGTGGGGCTCTGAACAACGCCCTTTAGAATTCAGATCAAACGCCCTGACTTCCGCCCACCCTACACACAGAGCACTTGTGTCCCAGCGCCGGACACCCAGCCTGCACCCACCTGTTCTGTGCCCGCCCGGTCCATCGCCGCACCCGCCCCACAGCCCCACCAGAAGAATGGCCACGGTGGGGGGGTGGGGGCGAGATAGAACAAAGACAGGTGCATGTAAGAGGGGACCCAAGGGGACCAGGAGGCTCTGGGCCAAGGCCGTCGCCCATGACTCTACTAGAAACTTGGGGTCAGCGGGATTTTTCCTTGGTTGAGATCCCTTGCACGGTATGTATGGGTGAGCTCACTCATATGTCTCAAGCCAGAAAAGGTGTTAAGCTTTTTCCCATACATTCTTCCTTTGGACCCACTCAGCAAGCCTCCAAGGACTTTACCCCAGTCTTTCCAGCTGAGGAGGCCGAAGCTCAGATACATTAAGTAACTTACTCAAGGTCACAAAGCTGAGAAGTGTTAGAAGAGGATGAGACAGACAAGCATCTGAAGCCGAGGTTTAGGCTCTTTCCCCGGCCGGCCCTTCATCCTTTTCGCAGCCGGTGTCACCCAAGCCAGCCGTTAGGAACAACGACAACTGGGTATTATACGAGAACAACGAATCATGGAACACTACATCACTACATGATGTACGGTGACTAACATAACATAAAAAAAAAAAAAGAACGACGACAACAAGAGCAAGGGTTAATGCTCCCCACGAGAGTGCAAGAAACATGGCAGCTGCAGACCCCTGAGTACTTCCAGCTCCAGTGTCACGGAGCAAACCCTCACCATCTCTCCTTGAGCTTCAGGTGGCAGGTGGGCACACGATGAGGACAAACCAGAGTGAGAAAGCAAAAGTTAACAAGCAAACAGAAGGTTGGAAGATGGGGCAGGGAAGAGTCATACGCTTTTGGGTTTGAATCTGGGTTGTTCGCCTAACACGACCGCGGGCTAGCTCCCGACCTCCTCTGAGCCTGCTCCCTTATCTATAAATGGGTTGTTAATACCCAGGGTTAGGGGCGCCTAGGTGGCTCAGTGGTTAAGCGTCTGCCTTCGGTTCAGGTCATGATTCCAGAGTCCTGGGATTGAGCCCCGGCATTGGGCTTCCTGCTCAGCAGGGAGCCTGCTTCTCCCTCTCCCAGTCACCCTGTTTGTGTTCCTTCTCTAGCCGTCTTTCTCTCTCTCTGTCTGTCTGTCAAATAAATAAACAAATAATCTTTAATACCCACGTCATTGTGAGCTTAGTGAAGCCCCCTGCAACAAGTTCCCAGCTCAGCTCCAGTTTCATAGATGATGATCAAGGGAGATAAGCACCTAATCAGGAAGAGAAAACATGTTGTTTCGGGGGACTGGGTGGTCTGCCAAACCCAATGTCCCACTTTTTGTTTCCCAGTGCTGCCCTTGACGTAGGCATCTGTCCGGAGATAGAACAGGCTGTTCTGCCCTGCCCCCCCCCATCAAATGTACATTGTAATCTCCTGGTTTTCTGAGCCTGCCAGTAGCTCTAGGGAAGAAACTCCCCTCCAAGCAGTGCAGGTAAAGAAGGCCTCCTCTCCCCCACCTCCCACCACTTCTGCCACTAAGTTGAGCCGAGTAGATGATGCTGGAAGCAGGGAACTGGGTGTGAGGAGAGCACACAGGCCTGGACCTGCGGGACATGTGGGGCATTTCCTGTCCCCGTACAGGGGCAGTGGTGGTGGCAGAAGCCCCGCATCAAGACTGGGGTGCTTCTCTCTGTTGTAGGGGGTGGGATATTAGCCATGGAAAAGTTGGGGAATGGGATGAAAGAACCCGGGGGGTGAAGGGATGGTCCACAGGACACAGAGTACTTTTCTGAACAAGGTCTTCTTTTCTCATTTAACTTAAAATAATAATCAAAAAAAAAGCCTCACTGATTTCATGCTGGGGCCTAAACCAGCATGGAGAGGTAGGAACACGGGTGCCTTTTCTGCTCAGCCACAGGTTCTAAAGGCAGGGCTGCTGCAGGAGGCCCAGTGGTTGACGGTAAAGAAATGCCTCATCTGGTGACACACGTTGGATTCACAAACCGTCAAGGAACATTATGAAGAGTAACCATTTACTGAGCACCTGTGAGGCCAGGCCTTGCACGTGCATGACCTCCTGTGAAGCTCAGAACAACCCCGTGAGGTGGGTGTTGCTTTTAATCCTTGCGTCACCCAAGAGGAAACTGAAGTAAAGAAAGGTGAAGGGACTTGTCCAAGGGTCACACGGATCAATGCAGTTAGTGTGTGATGGAAGTGGGACTGGAGTCGGGCCGAACTGACTCCAGAGCCCATGCTTTTGCCCATAAGCTTGACCACCTTGTCTAGAATTATAATCTTTCTTTCTATGAGTGTTTGTATTTTTTAATTCGTTTTTTGAGAGACAGAGAGAGAGAGAGAGTGAGAGTGTGGGCCAGCGGGTGGCAGGCTAGACAGAGGGAGAGGGAGAGACAGAGAATCTGAAGCAGGCTCCACCCCCAGCACAAAGCCTGACGTGGGGCTTGATCTCACAACCCCGAGATCACGACCTGAGCCGAAACCGAGTCTGGCGCTTCACCAGCTGAGCCACCCAGTCGCCCGTCTGTGAGTGTTTTTTAGAAACAAAGAGATTCAAAACTGACCTGGCTTGTATTCTCTTCTAGCCCCTTCTCCTCTTTCCTGTGGACTGGTAACTCTTCCTCTTCTTCCCTCCCAGGGCTTTCCACTGCCTCCTGATCTGTTCTGATTTCCCTGCCTTACCTTTCTGCGGCGGCTTCCTCGGACTCCAGAGCACACTCGAGCTGTTCTCTCTGCAGCGCAGGGGTGCTCCTCGTTTGGCCTGGCCACTGCTGAATTTCTAGGCTCTTGGAGCTCTTCACCCCCATTTTGCGCCCTCTGGGACGTAACCAGTGAACTCCCTTTGGGTCCCCTAAGCACCCTCATGTGGGCACTGGGATATCGGTTTTTGCTCTCCCCTTGGGATGGAGAGTTTATCCCTATGTCAACATCAGCACCTCAAGGGTTTCATTCTAAAAACATCCAGGGGGAGGGACCTGATTTTGAAATCCAAACCACCTTTGTGACTTTGGGTTAAAGTCCAAGTACTGATATGCTCTGCATTGCTCCAGACCTGTTTTTGCTCTCATGCTCTCATGTTTAATTAGACAAGACTCCCCTGGCTCTGTCAGGCCCTGGCCTCGTCCTCGGATTCTGAATTGCCCAGGCACCCAAGGACAGCTCAAGATCTGGAGATCGCACCTAGTCCACACAACCATCCTGTAATGGTATCCCCATTTTTCAGACAAGGAAGTTGAGGCTCAGAGACGTTAAATAACTTGATTCAATGGCATCTCTGTGAAATGGTAGAGTCAGGTTTCCGATTTCGTTTCTTCTCACCTCAAAGCCTTTGTACCTCGCACCACCTTGGGCAGCCTCCCTTAGTCTGCATTCTCACCAAGGCCTGGCCCATAGCTCAGAACTTCGACCCCTTTCCACGTATGCTCACATGCGTGGGCATGTGCACACACACGCACACACACGAAGATGTGTGCCCATACCCATTCATCAGCTCTCTCTCTTTCTGCCCCCACCTCTTCCCTGTCCCTCGTTCCAACTACAGGAAATCCTAGTGTTTTTTGGGGTTTGGGAGGAAGGCCCTAGTTGGACTGGATGAGGTTCTGTTCAGCCTCGCATTCCACACTTCCTCCCCCCGGCTTCACAACCAGGCTCTGGCCAGGAAAGGACAAGGGGCTTTCTTTGGGATTTCTTCCGGAATTTCAGGCTGCCTTCATCATCAGTTTGGTGTGGCCAAGGCCAAACTTCTCCAGCCCTTCCCTTCTTCCCCCACCCTGCCTCCACCCTGTGGGCCTAGGACACCTCAGGCACTTGGCTCATCCTCTCCGCCCTGCCACATGTACTGTAACCAGGCTAGGGTCAGGGTCACTCTAGCTCATTCCACTTTTCTCCTTCCCTCCCTTGGGCATGGTCTTTTCCTAGGAACTGGTAAGTGACAAGCTCCCTTACTCTGCAGACTACACCCTCTTATTCCTCCTTCAACTATCTGACTTCCTGTTGCTCCCTGCTTGGGCTTTATTATAACCTAACAGCCACCATTTATGGAATGCCCATAGTGTTCCAGGAGCTGGATGTTCATTAACTCCCATCCTCACAACAAGCCTGTGAGCTGTGGCTTGTTGTCTCCAGTTCCCAGATGGGGCCATGGAGGCTCAGAGTAACTTATGACACAGCTGGTCAGCAAGTCCTGGAGCCCAACTTAGGGGCTCCCCGCCAATACGTGGGTCCCTTGCCCATTGCTCTGCTGCATCTTCAAATGGAAGTCTCTCCATCTGAACCCTTCTTGTCTACAGCCTCCTCTCCCCACCTCCTTTTCTAAGTCCGTGCGCTCTGCCATGCTGTCCCCAACAGCTGGAACAACTTCCAGACAGCTGTGGGGCCTCCCCTCCTTTAGATCTCCAGATCACTCGTTACTCATGGCTCAGCTTGAGTCTGCCTACCTCCCTCAAGAAAACGGAAAGCCACGCTTCCAAATCCCAGCCCCGTCAGCCTTCCCTCTGCCCCTGCTGAGTGCCTTGTGTTCACCCGTCCGCAACCCCAGGCTGGTTGCGTGCCTGGTTTACCTTCCAGTCAGGGAAGGAGCACAGCACCTGGCAGTGCCCAATGGTCCACCGAACCCTAACCATCTCTGGCAGGAAGCGTCTTAAAGAGATGAACTTGGCCACCCTGGGCCTGGGGGGAGGGGGGCTCAAGTCTTCCTGGGAATTCAGCCCTGTGAGGATGAAGGGAATCCACAGCTGGGGGAAAAAGGGCGGGGAGAAGAGAAGCCACTCTGAGCTCGGAAAGAGGGTAACAGTTGAAGGCTCCAGAGAGAGGCTGAGCAAGCCTGGCACTCGGCAGGAGGGGTCTCACTCTACCCAGAGGGAAGCACAGAAGGGACCTAAGTGGCTTAATGCTGAGGCCAAGGGAAGACAAAACCCAGGCCTCTCCCCAGCCCCCCCTTCTGCCCCCTGCGCATCCCCCCATGCCACACCAGCTCCCCCTCCCCAGCCCACCTCCCCCTGTCCCCAGCTTCCTCACCTGGCTGCCGCTGCCCTTTCCT